TGTTAAGTGTATTTTACCACAATAAAAAAAATTAATGAAGCAAAAAAATTTTTAAATTTTAAGAGAAACTTTCAAGTTAAGAATTCTTGAATAGGGGCACCTGGGTGGCTCAGTCGTTAAGCGTCTGCCTTAGACTCAGGTCATGATCCCAGGGTGCTGGGATCGAGCCCCACATCCGGCTCCCCGCTCCCCAGGAAGCCTGCTTCTCCCTCTCCCACTCCCCCTTCTTGTGTTCCTTCTCTCACTGTCTCACTCTCTGCCAAATAAATAAAAAATCTTAAAAAAAAAAAAAAAAGAATTCTTGAATAAACAAAAGAAAGAAAACAGTAAGCTGAAAAATATTTTTCCTAGACACAAAGGACTAATATACAGAATTCCTACAACTCAACGAAGCAGCATACTAAAACTCTGATAGATTATGGAAATATAAACAGTCAATAAATTAATTAAAAACCTTCAACTACAATAACAAAATTAGAAATGCACATTACTATGGTGTGAATGTTTGTGTAGCCCCAAAAGTCACACATTGAAAACTTAATGCCTACAGTGATGGGTGTTAAGAGGTGGGGCCTTTGGGAAGCGGATTAGATCATTAGGGAAGAGCCCTCATGAATGGGATTAGTGCTTTATAACAGGCCCCAGAGAGCTAACTTGCTCCTTCCGCCACATGGAGGATACAGGGTAAGTGTGTGACCAAGAACAAGGTGCCCTCCCCAGACTGGCACTCGGATCTCTGACTTCCAGCTCCCAGAACTGTGAGAAATAAATTTCTGTTGTTATAAACTAACGAGTATCTGGTATCTTGTTCTGTAACAGCCTGAATGGGACTAAGACACAAAGTCAATCGAGTACCTTTGCACCTACCACGCTGGCAACAATGATTTCTTTCTGCATGCTTGTTTCATCGGCTCTTTGCTACATACTGCCAAACAGTTTTGCAGCAAGCCCCACAAAGGCTTTAATAATAAAGAGTGAGACCAAGCATTCACATACATGCACTTACTGAACTTTGACAACAACCAGAAAGATGAGTACTCCTTTTAGATGGTGAGGATACTGGGACAAACTGCTTAACTTGCTAGAGATCCCCAAACCAGTCAGGGGCAGGGCTAGGGTTCTCACCTGGGGCAATCGGACCCCACAGCCTGGGAGCTGAAGTACTGCCATTCAGAACCCCATTTAATAACACCCAGCAACCTCCATGACGGACAAGGACATGCTCAGGCACTGGTTAAGACAGTGCCCTTAAGAGTATAAACTGGCACAACCTTTCTGGGAAATAATTTGACAATACATAGGCTTACAGATATATATAATATAATCCTCTTCCTCCTGGTCAGACTATAGTTATCTTAAGATCAAACATAAAATACGGGCACCTGGCTGGCTCAGTCAGCAGAGTGTGTGACTCTTGATCTCAGGGTTGTGAGTTTGAGCCCCATGTTGGGTATGAAGGTTACTTTAAAAAACTAAAATCTTAGGGGCGCCTGGGTGGCTCAGCTGGTTAAGCGACTGCCTTCGGCTCAGGTCATGATCCCAGGGTCCTGGGATCGAGCCCCACGCCGGGCTCCCTGCTTGGCTGGAAGCCTGCTTCTCCCTCTCCCACTCCCCCTGCTTGTGTTCCCTCTCACGCTGTCTCTCTCTCTCTCTCTGTCAAATAAATAAATAAAATCTTAAAAAAAAAAAAAAAATCAAACCTAAAATAAAGATGCTCACTAAGATTTTCACATACAGATGTTCATGGATAAATTATCTTAAAAATGGAAAAACAATCCAAAATTAAGGAATGATTGAATAAATGATAACAAATATTATGGGATATTGTACAGTTATCAAAAGTTACGTTCACAAAGAGTTTCAAGGCAAATGACTAAATGATGAAAATATGTAATAATTATGAAACTATCAAATGGTCCATTAAAAATTACAGTAAAAAGACTAGGAGGAATATGCTAATGGTTAAGAGTGAACATGTTCATTGGGTAAGAAATTCGAGAAGGCTGGGGCGCCTGGGTGGTTCAGTTGGTTGGGCATCTGCCTTCGGCTCAGGTCGTGATCCCAGGATCCTGGGATTGAGCCCCGCATCGGGCTCCCTGCTCAGCAGAAAGCTTGCTTCTCCCTCTCGCACTCCCCCTGCTTGTGTTCCCTCTCTCGCTGTGTCTCTCTCTGTCAAATAAATAAATAAAATTTAAAAAAAAAAAAGAAAGAAAAAGAAATTCGAGAAGGCTCACCACCATGCCTCCAGTTCCTGCAGGGCAGGTGCCCAAAAACTTACTTAATTTCTTCATGATAGGATTACGAGATCATTTTCTTCCTTAGCTATCACCTCTGAATTTCAAATGAAAAAAAAATTATATAAAAACAAACGTTTAAAGGGGATAAGCCTGAAGTGCCATGGTAACAGTGAAATGTCTCAAGGAAGCAACACATCTGGTTCACTCCCATCTTCCCTCTCTGGGGGGTCTGGGTCTGCCCCTTCTCTGAGCTACAGCTAGGTCATCTTTACTAAGCTGCTCCCTGAGGACCAGTACCAGGTGGTCAAGGCATGAGTCTGAACTACCATGCCTTTACTCTCAGGCCCTGCTTTCACCCGAGCTGGTTGGACCCTCAACCCAAGCATGCTGCATTCTACCAAAGAGTCTCCACCTTGGACTTATGAAACCATAGCCCATTCCACAGGCTCCACCAACAGGACACCAGAGGGAGGCCTTGGGGCATACTCTGGGCAGAGCCTGATGACAACCACCTACCCTTGGAGCCGGCCTGCACTCTCAGGCCACTGAGATCACAGGGTAGACTGCCCAAATCTGAATGCTCAAAACCGTCCCACTCATTTTTTTTTTTTTTTTAAGATTTTATTTATTTATTTGACAGAGAGAGACAGCGAGAGAGGGAACACAAGCAGGGGGAGTGGGAGAGGGAGAAGCAGGCTTCCCGCAGAGCAGGCAGCCCGATGCGGGGCTCGATCCCAGTACCCTGGGATCATGACCTGAGCCGAAGGCAGACACCCAACGACTGAGCCACCCAGGCGCCCCAGTCGTCCCACTCATTCTTATCATTTTTCAAAAGATCCATGGAGGGGCGCCTGGGTGGCTCAGTTGGTTAAGCGACTGCCTTCGGCTCAGGTCATGATCCTGGAGTCCCGGGATCGAGTCCCGCATCGGGCTCCCTGCTCGGCGGGGAGCCTGCTTCTCCCTCTGACCCTCCCCCGTCTCATGCTCTATCTCATTCTCTCTCAAATAAATGAATAAAATCTTTAAAAAAAAAAAAAAAAAGATCCATGGATTAACTCTTTCTTATATCAGTAGGATACAAAAATCTCAATTAGAAAAGGGACAGGTCAGATGGTCCTGGCCATCCTTCCACTTGGCACCTAACAATTCCCTACAGTAGGTAAGCCCTGGGGTCACTGGTAAACCTTCCTAGCCAAGGGGCTCCTGTACCATCTACACACTGTGCCCTGAGTCCCACCATCTCCAAGCCTGGAGAAATCTCAAGGACTCACCCTCAAAACCAGACTGGATGCTGCCACATTTAAAATTTCTGAGTGTGTACTGAAACACTACAAAAGCGTATCTTTCCTTCGTTATTCAAATGATCAGGAAAATAAAGCATGAATCCAATAGCTGCTGTTCAAGTTGCAAGGACTTTTAAAACCGGCACTGAGAAGAAAACATCTACTAAGCATGTTCTGTGTTCTCCTTTGGTTAAAGTAGCCAATCTGCCCATAAGGAAAGATTCTGCACATCGATGCAGGGCAGGGACAGGCACAGGAAAAGGGCCTGAGGCTCATGGGGAAAGTGGGGATGAAAAGAGAAGGCAGTGGAGACAGAAGAACAGGAAGGAAGGGAGCACTCGAGATGAAGTCCTGGTCGGGAGCTGGGGAGACTGGAAGGCACACGGCGTCCAAGTGAGGCCACCTCATGGACAGATGGTGTGGTTCTGGGGAGAGGGCAGGAATAGAGGCAAGGACAGGACTCCTTCATGTACAGCAATGATCTAGTCATCTATGATGCTGGAAGAAGCAGGGGCCCCAAGAAACAGCACGAGAGAAAGGCAGGGGACTAAACAAAGTCCGTGTCTAAGAGCTCAGAGGAAGCAGCGGCAGGACAGCAGTGAGGGGCACAAGGTCACAGAACCGGGCGCTGCACAGGCTCCCAAGGCTCGAGAGGCAAGCAGGCTCTAGGGCTGCCGAGCCTGAGGCGTGAGAACAGAGGGGAGCCCACGTGCTCAGTGTGAGGTGGTTCCAGGAGGGTGGGAGAAACTGGGATTGCAAACTGGAGTTAGTACCGGATGAGGCTCTCAAGGGGGGAGGAGATGAAAGGATGGAGAAAGAGCAGACACTAAATCAAGAGGACAGGAAGGCCATTGCTAGGAGCAAGCCTGAGACCATATGAAGGCAGACGTCTGTGAGGCAGAGGGAGGAGGAGCTGTGGGGGTCAGAAAGTAGAGGCAGAAGCCCCAAACAAGACAATGGGTGAGGGGACCAGGTAGGCCATTAGGCAAAGGGATCTGAAACCAATGGAAGGCACATATTGGAGGGTACCAGGAATAAAGCCTGGAATGCAAGTGTCCAGAGAGTTAGACACACAGATGCAAAACCAGGCAGGGAAGCAAAGAAAAGATCTAGATGGGAACAGCCGCCATCTCCCAAGAGAGGTCAGAGAAGGCAGCCCCGTCTGGACAAACGGGGCCAGGCACAGAGAAGCCAGGGAAGCCAGGAGCGCAAAAACATGCTCCTTTCCCCTGGCAATAACCACAGACATGGAAAGCTCGGGGGGGGCCCCCCAGAATGTTACAAAATCAGTGCAAAGATGGGATTCTACTCATGCACCTGAGGCTAAGGTCCCTGCCTCATTATATCCTAGGGACAGCCCGCTTCTGTGCATCTGTTGGCTGCCTCACCTAAGAGCCTACTTGGGAGCGGAGAGGTAAGCCCAACACACACATCACCTTGAAGAATAATCTGGTAAGAAGTGGAAGTGTTCAATACTCACAGGAACAATAAGCCCTTGCCAAGTCAATAAATTAGCTTCATCAACCTGGATGTTACGGAAGTTTTTCATTCCACATTTGCGGATTTCTTCAAGCTCCTGTTGATTAACAAAGCATAAAGGGGTGTCAAACACGGGAAAGCACCACACATTAAGATCCCTCCTGACTCCCTCAAATTAAACCGAGTGCCAACACCAGTGATGACCAAATTTCAGAGTGTGGACTAGTCTGCGCCCAGTCTGGTTAAGAGGCCTGGAGCCACAGTGGTCCCCTCAAACCCATGCCCCAGACCTAGACAGGCCCCCACCTCAGTGACCCCACAGAACTTAGTGGGACAGATAACCTCCTTCTGCAGACATATCGCCTCCTCTTGGGGCTGGTCACCAGACCTCTGCTTGAACACCCTCAGACCCCTGCACAGGGCAGCAACGCAGGAGGGGTGCAAGAAAGGTGCTACAGACCTGACTCCTTCCAACCAAGATTTATTAAGCTATGAGTCAGATGCTGAGGACTAGGAGCAAACACATACCCACCAGGTTTTCTACCCAGTGCATAAGTGTGATTTCAGATCTCAGACTCAGCATGGACACTCGGCAAAGAGAACAACTATCCAGTCTGGGATGGGGAGGGGGACAGGAGCCTTTCACTGGCCCTCCGTTTCCTCGGCTTCAAAACAGTAGTTAAGACCCACAGCTGAACACAATGAAGGGGAAACCCTATTGTATGCAACAGAACCCTTTGCAAACTGTCCATGCAGCAAATGCCATTTCGTCCAGAAACCATGACCACAGGGACTAACCACTTCAGGGCCCTGCCTGAGAGGTCTTTAGTCTACAATTGTCTGTCACTTGTTTTTCAACTGTGCACCACTGCTTTTCCAACAACTCCAGTCAACACCCAGCAGGCATTATGACCCAAGACCCAATGTGGGCCAGCCTGCTCACATTCCCAAAATTCCTCCATTCTCAGACCCCTGCACTGACACAATCCCTCCAATGTCCCAACCTGGCCTCTTGTCCTTGGTACACAAGCCTCCTCTGCATCTCTTGGGTACCTTCTTCTACATCCCTAGAGCACCACCCAGCTGAGCAGGCAGGACAGCTTCCTCAATGGCCCTGGCTTCCTCCTTGTTGGTCTAGCCCATGCACCCTTTTGCAACTGAGAAGCCCTTCCTTGTGTGGTGTGGCTCACAATGGCACAGACGTTCCGAACCAGCCTCTCCATCAAGCCCAAAAGATCCTTTGCACCCCACATTCCCATCACACAGGCAACAGTTCAGAAGGTCCCCTGGGGAAACAATTCCAGAGGAAGTAGGAACGAGCCAGCGTTACAGGTTCTAAGTTGGAGGATGTGTGTGTGCCCGGCATAGAGCAGGCTGAGAACAGTGTCGCAAATGAACACGCAGAACAGACAGATGGGACATGCTGGTGCTTCATGGCAGGTGACACACCCGACCAAGTTTCTTCCCACAGGGTGCTGCTGCTTGTCAAACCTAGCTGCTCACCACAACCATCTGGGCTTAGGCCCCAGTCCTGGAAATTCTGGTCCAGCAACTGTGGGGTGGAGTCTGAAATGTGGATTTTTAACAAGCTACACAGTGAGAAGAGAGAGCCACTGCCACTGAGAGAAGAGCTCCATTTCTAAGCAACGCTCAGCTTCCATAAGGAAGCTAGTTGCAGTGGTTGTGGCCCCTGCAGTGGGGAAGGCATGGTCCGGCCCCTCTTCCTGAGCCTGCAGGAAGGACAGTATGGAACCTGAGAGACCACTCAACCTGCCAACTGCCATCTGGTCCTCCTGCTAATGATGAGGACTCATCAGAAATGCTCCCCTGGGGACAATGAAGCCTTCAGGAGGGGGAATAAATAAATCTCACTCTACCACTCTGTCCCACTCCCCAAACAGCATATAAGTTCCATGAGGGCAAGCTTGATGGCAGGGATCTAAAAGCCCCAGGAGCTTCCAGTCATGCTCAAACACTTGCTTAATTATCAGGATAGTGAAGGGACAGGAAGCTGGGGACTGGGGAGGAAAAAAAGGCTCTAGGATGGGAAAGGCTCTCCATGTATTTGATTTTCTGGTCCCTGGTGCAAGATACTAGAGTAAGATTCCCAGCTAGAGACAAATCCTACCAAGCTATCAGAAATGTTTTAAACCAAATATAGGCAGGAAAACAATTCCAGATAGAAGTTTGAAACTGGACAACCAATGAGATTAAATTCAATTTTCATGGAAGGAAATTTGTTGTAAAATAATCTGTACATATACTCTATGGTTTCAGAAATCCACATACTAACAATAGGAAGTATCAGTAATAAACCCAAGAAGGTAAATTTCAAAAGAATTACAAAAATATGGCAAGATGAGACTCAACTGTAAGATGGCAGTGAAAACCTGCACCTTGCTCAAGACAAAGGGAGGAAGGAGTGGGCACTGTGGGCAGGGGTGCAGAGAGGGCACCTACTGGTGCTCTGATATCAAGAGACATATGAACATTGGGGCCCCCAGCTGGCTCGGTCAGTACTCAACTCAATCTCAGGGTCACGAATTCAAGCCCCACCCTGGGCATGGAGCCTACTTAAAAAAAAAGAGAGAGAGAGAAAGATACATGCACAAAGATAAAAACCGTACTGAGGGAGAGGATGCCATCCCTCCTACCCCCTGCCAGAGAGGAAGGGTGACACTAATGTTGGCAGAACTGGGAGACTCAAGGACTCCAAAGCTCAGTTATCAATTGCTGGTTATCAGATAAACTCTCAATTTACCTTGCTGTCAAGTTAAGCTCACCAAAGAGCGGAAGAAGCAACCTCCTTTGCATAATTCTAACCAACAAGGAAGAAGTGATTATAAGGCAGAAGTGAGAGAAACCAAGACAAGCAAGCAAGCAAGCAAGCCCTATAATCTCCAGGGAATGCTGGGCAGCCCTAGGAGAGCCTTTCTCAACAGGGTGGTGCCAGCATCCAGGCAGGACTCTGCACTTGAGCATCCCGAGCCCTGCCCATTACATGCCAAGCATTTTGACACCACCCCACCCTGATATCCCAACATCCTCTAGAGCCCCAGCTGCTGAGAACCCCTGACACCATCAGTGGCCAGGATGCTAAAAGTCCTGCATTGCACAGGAGGTCCTCCAGTCAAGAACCATTAGGCCCCAAATGTCAATCACACCTCCACCAAGAACAACTTGAAGAAGATGGATTCAAGTCATTCAGAGAAAAGACAGATTGATATGAAGGTCTGAGACTCAAAAAGGCAAGATGACTTTAGAGGCTTGACAAATCCTCAAGCAAAAGTGCACCCCTATAACTGAGAATGATCCTGAGAAGGAATTTAAAGAAACCAATGTAAATTCAGAGTTTAAATTCAAAAGGATATTATTACAAATGAGGGGGAAAAAAGGGACCTGACAAAGGAAAACTGAGAGTGGCCCAGCTCTAGAACAGAATCAGGAAGACCAAAGCCTCTAAGAATGACAGGAGCTTACAAAATATGCCCACAAAGGTTTGTTTCAGTTCTGCAAGAAGCTGTCCTGGGTCAACTGCTCCAGGCTGATAGTGCCATACTGACAAACCGAAAGAAGAGCACAAGGGAAAGCAGAACCAGCCAACTAGCTCATTCCTTCTCCAGGCAGGGGAGAGCAGACTTCCCAGCCAGGGCAAGTGGTGAAGGAGAAAGACAACAATGCTTCTCAAAATGAGGTCTATTTCTGAACCCAGAGGTGGATCTCAGTGTATTGAGGGAACCCAAAAGAGCGTGAGTGCGCTGCCCAGCTCTTCAAAAGGGGAAAAGCCCACTGCCTAGACTCCTGCCCAGAGAGCTTGATGCCCATGCCAGGCCAGAGTGCAGCAAGCTCCAGAAACAGATCACTGCCTAACAGCCCCGAGGGACTAACAGGAGACAGCCCTGACTCCAGCAGGGGTGGACTACTCCTGCATGGAAGCTTCAGCTCATCCTTGAGAGGACAGCAGGAGACAGCTATACACAGTGGGCTCTCTGTCACACAACTATGATGTATGCCTCTGAGTTAGGGAAAAGTGTTTAACAAGGTCTTTTTTTTTTTTTTTTTTTGGAGATCTATGATGGGTGCTGGAAAGGCAACCATTCAAAATCTCCCCAGACAACCCTCACACAGGACCTGACAACCCTTCAGGAGCCAGTGATTCGTAACTAGCTTGTGACCATGGTCCTCTTTAAAAAATCCAGACAGGTGTACAGAGGAAAAATGAGCTGTGAAAGCCAGAGCTGCTTCAGATGTCAAATCAATGCTATGGACAGCAAGTCACAAGGTAGGGGTGCTTATACAGTTTAAAAAAAGCATATTTGAGGGTGCCTGGGTGGCTCAGTTGGTTAAGCAACTGCCTTCGGCTCAGGTCATGATCCCGGAGTCCCGGCATCGAGTCCTGCATCACGCTCCCTGCTCAGCGGGGAGTCTGCTTCTCCCTATGACCCTACCCCCTCTTGTGCTCTCTCTCTCACAAATAAATAAAATTTTATATTCGATAGCATCCTGTAATTTCATATTTGTTGAGTGGAAAAGAGCACACTGTACCCCTAAAGGAACCACAGAAAGTAAAGCTGAGCGCCATCTTATTGGCTGTTGAGATGAGGTTAGAATAGCAGAGAAGCCCTATTCTAGGAACCTGGAGCAAGGGAGGCCCAGCAAGCAACAGCAGAGGGTAATTGGTTCATGGAAGAGAGGCTGTCAGACAGGCCTTGAAGGATGGGGAAAAACCAAACCACTGCAGAGAAGAGAACAGGTGTGTCCGTGTGTTAGAAATGTATACAGGGCCGTGGAAGGAAGAAATCACCGGGTGTGTTTGGGAAGCAGCTGGGAGCCAAATTTGGCTGGAGTGATAACTAATGTTGGGGGACTCTCAATCAGAGAGTGCACCCAAAGGCCCCAGGGGAATTATTCAACACTCATATGCAGAGAGGAGGGGCAAAGAGGGAGGGTGGAGGGAGAAAGCCTGAATCGTGCCTAGGCCTCATTCTAGACCTGCAGAATCAGAATCTCCAGAGCAAGGCTGGGCACCTGTGCCGGGGGATCCCCCAGTAACAGTGAGGCGCACCCCTGCTTAAGAGCCAACATGCACAGGCGCCT